CTCAAAGGGAATTTGTTCAATTGCCCTCAAATTTGGACAGTAGCTAGTTTAACATATAAACTACCAAAACCTGTCTGTGAATTGTTAATTTCGAAATATTTTTTCTTCTAGAGCGATTTTTCTACGATCACTCAACATTTTTTTAATCCTATTTCGAAAATGTTCTGTGAATTTTTACTGCGATTGAATATGGCAAAACGCAGACACGTTTTTTTTTAGCGCATTGGGCCCGGAAACCGAGGAAAAACTTAAGTTGGCGAAAAACAAAATTCGCTTTGACTTGTAGCTTTCGAAAGGTGATTCGGGCGCGAGAAAAATTCGACAATTCATTTTATTTCAAAATTATTGGTATAGTTTGATAGCCAGCTCTATAAGCTTTAGTTTGATATAGGGGTTTAGGTATCTACCGCTTAAACTGCACTGGCTACATCGCTTGCACGCGAGACACCCCTGAAGGAATACTGTAACCTTAATATAATGTTCCACCTCATTCGCCGTGGTAGAGAAAATCTCCGACTCCTCACGAAAGAATCTTTCGCCGTGCAGGTTGACGCAGCTGGGAAAAAATTTTTTTATCAAGTTCTTGATGAACTGGACAAAAACCACAGGGCAAAAGATTGACCAGATGATTCCCCAGGGGAAGGACGTATGTATGAAAGATCCGAGAGTCCCTACTGTCCAGTTAAAACTTTTGAACTTCATTTATCTAAACTAAATCCAGCACTGTCATGCTTGTGGCAAAGGCCGCGAGCGACGGAAACTTTTAGCTATTCTGATGACGTCTAGTATTCTAACGTGCCCCTCGGGAAAAATACACTAGGAACTTTCATGAGTTCAATTTTTAAAGAGCTGAAACTATACTAATCACTGTATTAGGGCAACGGCCGTGTCACTCTTGTATGAGTGCAATTTTGAGGCTCGCCACACGGCAGAATGCGTGTTTCGGAACACAAATCTGAGAGCAACATTCGCTCTTACTCCAGGCGTCTTTCGGAGGTTAAGCAGAAAGAAATCTCCCATGTTCTCAGTAGTGCCTATTCTGTTGAAAATTTTGAGTCAACTGTTACAATATGGACACAATAGATTGTTTATTGACATTGATATGATTCACGTGACATTTGATCATAGCAAGATTGGCATCACTTATATATTCAATACTCTCGATAGCTCACTGAACGTGTAAGATCACGAAAGTAAGA